GGAGGAAATTGCTAGTTTTTTCAGGCATACAGAACATCATACACTTCACCCAGCCACTGTTGAAGATGAGTTTAATACCTTTTTTTTTATAACAGCAATAGGATCTTCATTGATAGACACAATAACAGTAACCGATGTAAACCCCTTATAGCTTATGTAACAATCATTTTCAAATGTTTTTTCCTTACTCCAGTGGCCAGTGCTACTTTCAGACAGTCTGACATGGGTTAGAATGATCTGGCAGCTTTCCGGTGGAGGGAAAGCTGCTTATATCAGGGTGAAAACAATGAGTGCTGATTAAAGTAAAAACTCCGAAACCAAGGTGAAACAGAAACAGGAAGTAATGTCAAAATAAAAGCATGAGAATGGAAGCTGACAGGACAGAATCATGACAGAGCCTTTATACAAAGAGTTACATATGTAACTATGGTATAAATGAATAGATGATGGACTGAAAACTGCAAAACACTGGCACTGGATCAACAATCTGAAAAAAGCTGTGAAAGGTCTGGGGAAGCCAGTGGCCACAAGTTATTGCAGGGAGCAAAATTTAGTTTTTAATATGTGGTGGTTAAAGCAGCTAAAGTAGGGTGCTCTGTTCCTTTGTAAGGAGTCACTTCAGTCGCCTGAAGTGTGGGGTAGATCATTTTTCATTCAGAAAAGATAACTAGTAATGGAAAAATAACTACTTTTAATTAATTAGACCAGAAAAATTGCTCTGTGGAAACTGCATAACATCTAGATAAACAATGTGTCCAAACAAACTGAATGTGACATTAGTCATTTAGTGTCAAAACATTAAGATTTTTAAGACACTGTACACAACTGACTGTGGCAATTGTCACAGTGTAGTGTCTCAATTATTGCTTCCAGCTTTGAAAACAAGAACCATAGTATAGATTATAGTATGAAATTATTGTAGGTCCTTCAAGTTCAACTAATGAATTTGTGAGCAATTGGCAAAAAAGGGAACAAATTTTCTCTTCTTTTAGCCTCTGTAATCAAGCTGCCTTTGGGCAATACACTTAATTCTCAGTTGCCCTAATGGCTACCAGTCTGTGGTTGAACAGGGCTTCTCCTAGATATAAACGTGTAACATCAGGAGTGTGAGTAAAGGTGCTGCTAAGAGAAAGCATAAATTCACAATCAATCCTCCCAGATAAGTGAGGCTTAAAAATTTGGCAATTGGATCATTGGTCATTTGCAGAGGTACTGACTCTAGTGTTTTCAGAAACAAGTCAAGACAAAAACATTTACTCCACATGCACTCCACTTATTGAAAGCCTCAAGTGTCTCAAGAGTAAATGTGCATCTGGAGACAATCACATTTTTGATTTGGCTCAGCCTCTATTTCATTTTACTTTAGTTCCCTGTGTGCCATCACCTTATTATACTCTTATTAATGTATTATTAAATGCCCACTCTGTGTGCAGCAATTAACACACCTTGTAGCACTTATTCTTTTTGGCAGGGCCATAGATCAAAGCTCTACTGTGGTGTCACACGGGTAAATGTGATTATTTGTTTGGAGTGAGGGTGGTTTGGGTAGGTGGCTGGGGGGTTGGGGCATTGAATCATTAGGCGTATTTATTATCTGTCCTCCAGCTTTGACTCAGTTGTGCAGCTCCTAGATCAGGTAGAATAATGGCCTCTATAACCTGGACCTTGGTGACCACTGAGATCTCCCTCTTGTCTTCCATTTTTTCATTATAGATCTGTTAAAAAAGGCAGATCAGATCAGATAGCAATGACAAAATGCGCATGTACACTAGCACTCCCTCATGCTTTGAAACAGTATTTCTCTCAAAATCAGGGCTACAAGAAGAGACATCCTGAATTGATTGAGAGATAATGAATGAGGGCTGGGAGAGAGAAAGAGAGATCGATGTAGTGGGATCCTGCTGACGGAAACAGACAACAAAGGGCTGGGTGCTCCACTTACACAAGGCCAGGCTACATACAAAATCTTTTACAATCCAAACAGGTTTCTGTATTTGTGCATAATGTTTAAAACAAAATATCAATCATTTGGTTTTCATCTGATAATATATTTTCTGTAACGAGTCTCTACAAATTTGACCATGTAAAACAAATAAACAGCTTAAAACCTGAAGAATCCAATGATGATACTTTTTCTCTAACTGGGTTTCTGAAAAGGCCTTTACTGTACACTGCCTTGGAACACTAAATGTCTTGTATGAAAAACAAACCAATGAATGTTTTTAATAAGATTTAGTAGGCCATTATAAGCCGCTGAAGGGACTTTCATCTCAGGTTTGCAGGCTCCCATCTATTTGAAATAAAAATACTGAAGAAAGAAAGTCAGGACCTACAGTATGTATACAAAATATAATAAAACAGCATTGACAAGATGTCAGTTGGCTGCTCTCTTACTATGTAGTAGTGTTTATTGTTACTGGCAGAGTCACAGTCCAGACTGAAATTCAAAGTTATTAACTGAAACATGGGGGTGGCTGTTATTGTGTCCATTACCAAGTAGAATAATGGGAATTTGTTGGGGCTGTCTCAATAATATTAATAATAATAATGATGTCATTCAATTTTAATAGTAATATGTAGACCTTACTATATGTATGTAATGTGCCCTAAAGGGATTTTTGTTGTGATTTGGCACTATACAAATAAAATTTATTTGAATCGCAGTAACAGGAAATGTAATGTACAGTTTATGTCAGAAGTTTACATACACTTAGGTTGAAGTCATTTAAACAGATTTTTTTAACCATTCCACAGATGTCATGTTAACAAACTCTTGTTTTGGCATGTCGGTTAGGATGTGAACATTATGCATGACAACTAATTTTTCCAACAGTTGTTTACAGATAGATTATTTCACTTATAATCCACTATATCACAATTCCAGTGGGTCAGAAGTTTACATACACTCAGCTGACTGTGCCTTTAAATAGCTTGTGAAATTGCAGAAAATGTCATGTCCTTAGAAGCTTCTGATAGACTAATTGACATCATTTGAGTCAGCAGGAGGTGCACCTGTAGATGTATTTGAAGGCCTACCTTCAAACTTGGTACCTCTTTGTTTGTAAGTCTGGTTTGTCCCTTGGAGCAAGTTCCAAATGCCTGAAGCTACCACATTCATTTGTACAAACAATACTACACAGGTATAAACACCATGGGACAACACAGCCATCATACTGCTCAGAAAGGAGATGCACTCTGTCTCCAACAGAGGAACATATGTTGGTCTGAAAAAGACAAATCGATCCCAGGACAACAGCAAAGGACCATGTGAAGACAATGGAGGAAACAGGTACGTATTGTATCTATAGCCACAGTAAAACGAGTCTTATATTGACATAACCTGAAAGGCTGTACATGAAACAAGAAGAAGCCACTGCTCCAAGACTGCCATAAAAAGGCAAACTACGGTTTGCAGCTGCATATGCAAAATCTGACTTTTGGGAGAAATGTCCTCTGGTCTGATGAAACAAAAATTGAACTGTTTGGCCATAATGACCATTGTTATGTCTGGAAGAAAAAGGGGGAGGCTTGCAAGCCAAGGAACACCATTCCAACGGTGAAGCAAGGGGAGATGCAGCATCATGTTGTGGGGGTGCTTTGCTGCAGGAGGGACTGGGGCACTTCACAGAATAGATGGCATCATGAGGAAGGAAGATAATGTGGGTATATTGAAGAAACATCTCAAGACATCAGCTAGGAAGTTAAAACTTGGTCGGAAATGGGTCTTCCAAATGGACAATGTCTCCAAGCAGACCTCCGAAATTGTGGCAAAATAGCTTATGGACAACAAAGTCAAGGAATTGGAGTTGTCATCACAAAGCCCTGACCTCAATTCAGTAGCACATTTGTGGGCAGAACTGAAAAAGCATATGCAAGCAAGGAGTGCTACAACCCAAACTCAGTTCCATCAGTTCTGTCAGGAGGAATGGGCTAAAATTCCAGGAACTTATATGAAGCTTGTGAAAGGAATTTTGAAACATTTGACCCAAGTTAAACAATTTAAAGGCAATGCCAACAAATACTGTATGTACTGTTCTGACTGACTGGGAATTTGCTAAGGGCCACCCGGTCCCTGTACGATCGGAGCAGGAGCTTGGTTCGCATCGTCGGCAGTAAGTCAGACTTGTTTCTAGTGCGTGTTGGACTCCGGCAGGGCTGCCCTTTGTCACCGGTTCTGTTCATTATTTTTATGGACAGAATTTCTAGGCGCAGCCAGGGCCCGGATGGTGTCCGGTTTGGGGACCACAGGATCTCATCTCTGCTTTTTGCAGATGACGTTGTCCTGTTGGCCCCATCAAACCAGGACCTCCAGCATGCACTG